TAAAGGGCTATAGTTACACAGAAAACACCATTATCTCTCATACAAAATAGTAACTGCACCTCAGGAATGCAAATCATATGTAGAAAGACTTATGTGCTTCAATATAAAAATGCTAAAGTAATTCGGTCAGAAAACTCAAGTTCCTTTTAATGTCCCTAAGGATACTTGTAGAAACTTGAATTTTAGGAGAAAACCAGAAGGGTATTTCACTTAATTTTTCTGAAAAATATAAAAAAACATATTTTGACTTTAATGTTGGCTCAGCTTTTTTTTTACAAATAGAAAGTTTTAAAACCTATTTTTGAAAGTAAGTTTTGCTTTGCCTTTTTAATCATCTTTACTTTAGATGTGGGGCAGCAAACTTAGAATCAATGCAACCTGGTTTTCATTCACCTCAATCTGTGTCTTCATTGAATTTAATCCCCATATGTTGTTCCCTCTCCTCTCTATTAAATCTTGGAAATATAGGAAGGAGTTATAGTATTTTTATTTTTATTTTTTTGTTAATCCTCACCAGAGGATATTTTTCCATTGATTTTTTAGGGAGAGTGGAAGAGAGGGGAAGATAGAGAAACATCGATGTGAGAGAAACACAAAGATTGGTTGCCCCCTGCCCAAGCCCTAACCAGGGCCCAGGCTGGGGAGGAGCCTACAACCAAGGTTGCCCTTTACTGGAATTGACCCCAGGACTCTGGTCTACAGGCCAATGCTCTATCCATTGAGCCAAACCAGCTGGGGCAGAGTTAATGTATTTTATAATTAATATTTCTATGACCTTAGAAATCTCAAGTGTTTACAGGCTTCTCTCTTTTTAACATGTTTTTATTGATTTTTGGAGATTGGAAGGAAGAGGGAGAAACATTCATGAGAGTGCAACATCAATCAGCTGCCTCCTGTATGCCCCCTACTGGCTTCAAGCCTGAAACCTGGAATCAAACCTGCAACCTCTCTGTGCGTTCGTTGAAGGATGCTCCAGCCAATTGAACCACACTGGCCAGGGTTTATATCTCTTAACCTGTCAGTGAGCCTTAACAAATTGGGATTTATGGGACTCAAATTATTTTTAAAATTAGTTCTGTAATTTGTTTCAGTGCATTAATGCAGTGGTATGTTATGAATGCATGAGAAAAGTGTAATAAATTGAGAATAGAACTAAATTTATGTTCTCAACTGATATTAAGGGAGGTAAGTATGAGTTTGTTGGGATATTGGTACTTGTCAAAATTGGCTACTTAACCTATTAATGGAACAACTAAGTTTGTAGGTTTGATATTTATCTCTGGAAGTCTGTTTTCTAAGTGCTGATTTTAAAAATATATTCCACATGTTGTACATACTTTGAACTTACTCCCTTAAAACATCCTTCTTAGTGGCCTGTAGATTACTGACTTAAAGAATTAAAAATTTTGACCAAAATTAGGAATAGCTACCTGATTTTTTTTTAAGCTAAGAATCAACAAACAGCCGAAACCGGTTTGGCTCAGTGGTAGAGCATCGGCCTGTGGACTGAAAGGTCCCAGGTTCGATTCCCGTCAAGGGCATATATGTTGGTTGCGGGCACATCCCCAGTAAGGGGTGTGCAAGAGGCAAGCTGGTCGATGTTTCTTTCTCATCGACGTTTCTAGCTAGAAAACTGGTCAATGTTTCTTTCTCATCTCCCTTCCTCTCTGTAAAAAATCAATAAAATATTTTTTTAAAAAAGAATCAACAAACAAAAAAATAAAAATAAAGAAAAAAGAAACATTCAGTGTTGCATGTCTACCTTGTTTTATCATTTATAGGCAATCAATATCTCTTGTCTGAAAGGGGGTGAAGACATTTTCTACTATTTTATATTCTGAACCTAGTTTGACATGATTTTTCTTATACAGTTACATAAATGAGATAATGCAGGTTCAGTATTTGGGTCAAAATGCAGTTTTTTGTTTTCTGAAAATAAGCACAGATCTTTACAGAATTTTTATGTGAACAATATATTCATTATGTCAAAAAGTTTATGTTCTCTATAAGCACTACGTTCAGAACAGGAAACAGTCATGTGCTGCATAATGTTTCCGTCAATGATGGCCTGCATGTACAGTGGTATACCTTACAGGTGAGGTGTGGGTAGTAGGCTAAGCCATCTAGGTTTGTGTAAGTGCAATCTATGATGTTCACGTGACAAATCGTCTAACAAAGGATTTCTCGGAGCATGTTGTTATGCTGCTCATGACTTTATTATCCAACTTTTGAGTGTGCACCTTTCTGTGCTTGGGGCAGAGGGAAGTAGCAAAGAGTAAATGCTAGCCCAGCCTCTGTGACTCAGTTGTTGAGCATGGACCTATGAACCATGAGGTCATGATTCAATTCCACCATCAGAGCACATGGCTGGGTTATAGGTTCAATTCCCAGTGAGGGGCCTGCAGGAGGCAGCCAATCAGTGATTCTCTGTCATCATTGATGTTTCTCTCTCCCTCTCCCTCTGAAATCAATAATGTTTAAAAAAAAAGGGGGGGGGGGGGTAAATGCTAAACCCCAGTCCCTGCAAGATGCTTAATGCATCAATGGTGGGTACAAGTGACATAAAAGTAAAAATTCCTTTCAAATGTATAATTACTAGTTTTACTCAAGTCAATGTTAGATTCTCTGAGCAAATCAACCAGTGGTGGAGAACTGCATGGCTGGCAGAAGGAAAAAAAAAAAAAATGAGTATCTACATACTGGAATGGAGTGCAATCAAATTGGTGTGGTATAGTGAGTGGTTACCAGGAGCCACTCTTATTGTTCTAAGTGAGTACTACGACTAACATTTTGACAGCCGTGTGAAAGATAGCCAGAGAGGAGTAATGATAGAGCTGGAGTTAACCCAGTAGCCGGCTTGTAGGCTGCTTGGGTCTGGAAGCATGAAGTAAATATGGTTGGAGCTCTGATGAGAAAGGAAGCCCAAGGAAATTTTTAAAGGAATAACTGGAAAACTGGTTAATGGCTTAGATGCAGGGGCTGAAGGAAAGTAAAATATCTGATTGTATTAGCAGAACCAGAGTGAGCACCAATGAAGATAAATTGAAGAAACCAGGAAGTGGTTTTTAGTGTATGAGCAAAAGAATTTTTTGTTAAGAAAGTTTTTAAGTTAAATGAAATATTGTCATGAGCATCTTCTGAGGAGAGGCAAATGTAACAGTTGAACCTTGAAGTCACTGACATACAGGAGGCAACTGAAACCATGAATGTGAATGAAACTATTTTCATAAGGGTTAAGCATGAGAAAGAAAAATAGGACATCCTGACCTAAGGGGGCTGGGGATGGAGAGGGGAGGGTTGGAGTACAAAGGGCTGCTCTTACAGGTAAGATAGCCTCCTTTGGCCTGAACAAGATCCTGTCCCCTCTCCTATGCTATAAGTCAGCAGTAATTCCATCCTTTGGACATGTCATAATTTGTATCTGTCTATATATACTTCTTAGGGGAGAACTAGCTACTAATCTAAGGGGATGATAAGATAGTTTTGGAAATATCATCCTCTAATAAATTAGTACCAGGGCTGTGGATGTGGGTGCAATGATTAAAGTCTGTTTCAGAGCCGATGTTGATAAACTTCAAATTGAGCAGCAGCAAGGCCACACAGCATCTTTCAAATACATGTCATTGAAATATTTCTCCATATACCTTTCCAATAATACAAACATTTTTGTTCCTCTCATTTTTCTTAAATGCCACTTTGGTGCTTTACCCACAAAAATATGTTACGGGATTCTTACTAATTCTTATTAACTAGGTTCTCATGTTGATCTATTATTTTCTAAAAAGATGAATGCCCTAAATAGTATTAATATATATTAGTTCCTAGGGCTACTATAACAAATTACCACAAATCTGGTGGCTTAAAACAAACTTGCTCACACTTCTGGAGGCCAAAGGTTCAAAATCAGTGTCAGCAGGCCTTGCTCCCTCTAGCGGCTCCAGAAGAGAATCCATTCCTTGCTGCTGGTGTTCCTTGTCATTAGGCCACAACCCAAACTATGCCTCCATCTTCATATCTATGTGTTTTATCTCTCACTTCTCTAAGAACATTTGTGATGGCATTTAGGGCCCCTCAGCACAATCCAGGATATTCTCAAGAGTCTTAACCACATCTGCAAAGACCTGTGTGTGTGTGTGTGTGTGTATTTTATTATTATTACAGTTGACATTAATTTCAGATACCTCAGTAATTAGGCATTATAAAACTTCCTAAGTGATCATCCCCCAAAAAAACACCTTTTTAAAATAAAAGCAACATGCATAAGTTTGGGCATTAGGAGGGAGACATATCTCTGGGAGACATTAGCTCACCACAGTGTTTTACTAATTTTGCAATAACAGAGACTAGCATGGGTCTACTCTAGAATTACCCAAAATATGTTGAATTAAATCAGACCTAGGAAAGCTCCAGAATTAAGCTACTCTGCAGTGATTCTTCTGAAGGAAGCTAGAATCAGACAAAACTTGCAGGAGTCAGTGAGAGGTCTAGTCTGGGCTAGTTTTGCAATTCAAGAACCAATATAGTGTCTATGGAATGCTGTGGAAAGCATTTTCCCACTGAATTACCTTCTACTGGTGTTAGCGTACATCCTGTGTACCACAAATATTTTAATATTTTTCAGTAATGACAGAAATATCCCCCTTTCACTGAGTGATGTAAATAGCAAACTTGATTTTCTTTATTATTTTCAGCCACAAGAGAGCTTTTCCTCCACTTCACCCCCACCTTTACTCAGACATACATGATTCATATTAGAAGACAATGAGTGCTGCTGAAACCAGTGTCATAAACAGTGTTTCCCAAACTTTTGACATATGTGTACCCCTTCTATAATTTTCGTAACACTGAGTACCCCTCTTACTCATGAGAAAGTAGAATTAGGCGCAGCTAAGCACGGTGCAGTGCATATCCCCACCAAACTCCGGTGCAACGTGTACCTCCACCAAACTCTTCCCATACCCCTGGGAGTACGCGTACCACGCTTTGGGGAACACTGATTTAGAAGATTGTAGTCAATTTCTGCCTGAATTTAATGTTTTGTTTATGTGTTGTTTTTGTTTTTTGGAAATGGGAGGAGTGTGCAGGCACAAGAATTAAATGATAAAAGTCATATGGTTAGATGAAGTAAGTACATTGAACATTCAAACGAATTAAGGATAAATTCAATGCAATGTGTTTGGTTTTTTTAAAAAATATTTGTTAGTACACACCATGCACAGGGGTGAGGTTTCTGTCACTGGACCTTCTCCAAATAGGCCTTATTTATTAATTATTTGAAGCAATGGTGTAAGGAGATGGTTATTATCTGTGCGATTTACATATCTAAGACACACGTTCCCAGAAGTTGATCCAATCATCCTTTCCTAGAACTATTCTGGAAATAGTTTTCATCACTCATTCTTTCATTTGAGTTTTCTGAATTCATTAAAATAAAGATTTTAACTGAAGAGTTATAGAGTGTATTTTATTAGACTGAAAGACAATACCTGAACAACATCTTGGGCTCCTTGTAGAAACTGAACCAGCTGGTAGTTATTATTTAGCAAAGTCCTGACTTGATTTTTCAGCCAGCTCCTAATTTTTCAGAAACAGCCACCACCGTGACCCTTACTGATTCCTCTAATGCTGTCATGGAGGATGTCCCTAAGGAAGAGTGGCGCCCACTATCTCTCCCCTTATCCTCCCACGCTGAGCGAGTACAGGATACTCCTGTTATCGGGGCACTCTCCCCTTAGCAGGATGTGTCTAATGCCGGATACAGAATTAATGATTTTGTTGCCCTAGGCCCTCTGCCAAGGGTCTCCTTGTTTAGTGACAGTAAAGAGAACAGGTCTCAGAAAGTCATCCAAACAAAATAAATGTAACTTGTCAGCCCTGGAAAGTGAAGACAGTTTACAGTGTTACCTCCCCCACTGTCTGTCTGCTGCATCTCCCCAAGAGTTCAACTACCCAAGGCCATTACATCATCAGGAAGGAATTTTTAAATCAGTTATTGGTAAAACTTACTGAGAGGAGCCATAGAATTTGTCACAATTGGCTCAACTGCTTTATCACTTTGAAGAAGAAAAGTAAATTCTAGGAAGCAAAAAATTTTAACAGGTCTTGACCTGCACAAATAAACCATAAAACACCTTTTGAGTAAAACCAAAATATATTCAATATCTAGCCTTAATCTTAGTTAGACTATAACTTTTCTTTCCCAAAGGAAAATAATCTGAGGTTGATATATATATATATAATTGATATTTTACAGAAAGGAAGAGAGAGAGATAGAGAGCTAGAAACATTTATGAGAGAGAAATATCAACCAGCTGCCTCTTGCACACCCCCTACCGGGTACATGCCCTTGACCGGAATCGAACCTGGGACCTTTCAGTCCGCAGACCAAAGCTCTACCACTGAGCCAAACTGGTTTCAGCTGAGGTTGTTATATTGATAACAATTTGCAGTACCATTTCCAAACATGGACTGTTTCTCTGCTCTTCTTTCTGGCTAACCTATTTTGAGAGAATCACAAAAGGAGAATAGTGAAAGAATAAGAAAAAACAGCAAATGACAGCTTAATTCTTGGTTCTTCAGCATGATGTTTCTATGAAGAACTCAGGAGCTCTGATAGTTAAAAAATAATAATATTAGTTATCTCTTGGACCTCCTACTATGTGCCTCCCACAACTCTAAGGACTGTGTTTGTCTCAGCCCACAAAACAATGCCAAGAAATAAGGGCTATTATAGTACTAATGGTGCATCAAATCAATAGAATAAAATATTCATTATAAACACTGGAAATGAGATTAGTTTTGCTGATCCAAATGAATACTTCAACACTCAAAATATCTAAGAACTCTCAGGAAGTTGAAATGTGACTGTATACAAGATAAATATGCCAAAGACAAATAGTTGTTTTTTTTCCCTATAGGCACAATAAGCACTTAGAAGTTGATACAGAAGGAAATATTTATGGCAGATAAAAACTATAAATGTCTAAAGGAATAAAGCTAACAAGAAAGAGCTATTATAAAGTTTTATTAAATGACATAAATCAAAATCTGAATAAATATTTTTATGCCATGACAATGTCATAAAACACCAATTCCCCCAAGTTAACAGTTAATGTAATATGATTCTAATTTGAATTTCAACTGGGTAAGATTTTAAGACTGAAATTGAACTAAATGATCTTAAAGTTCAAGGGAAAGAGGAAATAGCATTGACCAGTAGATTAGAATTGAGTCCAGAAGCAGATTCCAGTACATAACAAAAATTAACATATAACAAAAACATTTCAATAAGAAAGAATATTTTGTAAATGATGCTGGCACAACTAGTTTGAAGTAAATATTCAAGCTAGAAAATATTTATTAAGAAAAAAGTTTTGCCAAAACCGGTTTGGTTCAGTGGATAGAGCGTTGGCCTGTAGACTGAAGGGTCCCGGGTTCAATTCCGGTCAAGGGCATGTATAATACCTTGGTTGCGGGCACATCCCCAGTAGGGGGTGTGCAAGAGGCAGCTGATCAATGATTCTCTCTCATCAATGTTTCTAACTCTCTATCCCTCTCTCTTCCTCTCTATAAAAAAAAAAAAAAAAAATCAATAAAATATATTTAAAAAATAAAAATAAAAAAAAGTTTGACCCCTATATCACACCAAAAGCACATTGTAGATATATTGAAAATTTTCAAGCTGTAAGTAAAACAAAAATTTTAGAAGAAAATCTAAGAGACCGGAAGTATAATCTAGAGCTAGGAGACACCTTAGCCCAATTTGAGAAACTTGGAAGCTATTTTAAAATTAAAGTAGTTTACATAAACTAAATTACTAAGGGAGGGTAGGGTGAGCAAGTTAAGGAGATCTCAGTAGGTGAGAGAAGAAAAGCAAAAATACAGTGATGGGGGAACAACAGGAGGACAAAGGAATAGAGAATCTTCCTTGTCAGTAGCAACTAAATAAGGTTTTGGGATGTAAATATTAAAAGCTATACGAATGTTATAAGAAAAATACGAACGTAAGCATGTGAGGAGACTAATGGATAATTATAAAAATTGTGCTAGCAGTAATAATATGGATGCCTTTTGAACTACTTTGCCCTAACATTGTTTTGCTACCTTTACATACAAATAAATTTTTAAAATTTTGTCATTAAGTCATCATCATAACTTCATACTTAAATTGGGGAAGAAGGAGGTAATCATAATTCAAAAAGTCAAAAGAGTTTAGCTTTATTTTACTACCTGAAATTCAACCTTGGTGCACAGCTAAAAAACTTCCCTTGGTCTTGTGAAGCAGAAGGGCTCCCCTAGGGTGGCAAGCAGTTTCCTAAAGATTAAACCCAACCATTTACAAATTGCAAATAGGAAGCCGGGATGGAGTTTGAAGCACAGATTTACCTACTCCCCTTTGGCAGCACAGGCTCAGATTTCAAGGGCAATGTTCAAGACAGGCACAGCTTTTCCCTGGCATTATATTGTGCTGCCAATATTTACATCCTATCATTTTATGCTTTTTAATGCACTTCTATTAATAGAATCTGCCTAGTTTGCTCTTATATGTCAATATGTTTAGAGCTCAAAATACACTCCAAGTATTTTAAAAGTCAGTTCCTGGTCTTGATTTGTGTAATAAATATATTACACTTTTAATCATTAAAATAACACCTTGAAAATTTTGTTATTGTTAAAGAATAGATCTTTACTTAAAGACAAAGAAAGCTGTACATATATGGTAATTATCTATTCAAAAATTTAATTATTTGTTGCATTGTTTCTTTTTAAAAAAAATATATTTTATTGATTTTTCACAGAGAGGAAGGGAGAGGGATAGAGAGCTAGAAACATCGATGATGAGAGAAACACCGACCAGCTGCCTCCTGCACACCCCCCACTGGGGATGTGCCCACAACCAATGTACATGCCCTCAACCAGAATCGAACCAGGGACCTTTCAGTCCGCAGGCCAACACTCTATCCACTGAGCCAAACCGGTTTTGGCTATTTGTTACATTGTTTCTTAAAAGGTTATCATTAGTCAGATGATGATGTATGTTTCCCCCTCCCTGCCCTCTTCCAACTATCTCAGCATGCAATCAGCACATGCCTCCCCCTGGAGCCAAACACTGAGGTCTGGACATGACCCCCATTAGATGAAGGGGACTGAAGTCTACATGTCTTCATCTGTGATCTTTGCTAAGAACACAACAGCCATCCTCTGGATTCTTCTGCAAACCTCAGAAGAGGAGAAAACCCCCATGCTAGACGGGGTTGAATTTCCTGCCTTCACCCCACCAAACCTTGGAGGATGAGGAGGGCTCAGTCAAAACTAAGACCACATATTAAAATGTTAACGTGTTTTTCTTACCCAGTCAAATTTATGAGGTAAGGTTCACACTAGCTACCTTCTTTTCATCATAAAGTCTAAACAACCTAAATTGTACTACTTAGAGAAGGCAGAGAATGTAATAAGTCATTCTTCAGAAATGCAAATGTGTGTTTGATTCAAAGATTTCTATGCCAAACAGAGAAGTATGTGAAAACAGCAAGGTAAAATGTGCAAGCTGCGATAAAAATTTGTGGTTTAGCTGGGGAATGCCATATCAAGAGGGAATCATGATTTTAGTTTTTCAATGGCCCCCAAGGTCATCTTCACCATTGATGGGGCCTAAGATGTCTGTAAAGAGGAGTCATTGCAATTAATGTATTTGTCTGGCAAACTTTTTATCAGCAAATCCCCACTACCTTGAAAATGTCACTAATTACTCTTCGCTTAAGTCTTAAGACATTAGAAAAGTGGTTCCCAACGAGGGGCACACACCCCATAGGGGGGCAATTTGGCTTTTAAGGGGGGCAATTTGAGAATGAGTTACTAACAGTGAATTTTTTGTATTTCTTATGGTTCTAGGAGCTCAATATACAGTATATAAATATATATTGTGACAAATTTATACATTCCAGTTATCTATTATATGTTTTGAAACTTTATTGCTATTTTTTTAAATACATTTTATTAATTTTTCACAGAGAGGAAGGGAGAGGGGTAGAGAGCTAGAAACATTGATGAGAGAGAAACATCGACCAGCTGCCTCCTGCACACCCCCCACCAGGGATGTGCCCGCAACCAATGTACATGCCCTTGACCAGAATCCAACATGGGACCTTTCCGTCCAAAGACCGATGCTCTATCCACTGAGCCAAACAGGTCTCGGTTATTGCTATTTTTTTCATATCACTTCATGTTTGTTTGTTTTTGTTTTTGTTTGGTTTTTTTAACAATTCCTTCCTCAGTACTTTAACTGTCCTTTCATTCTTTTATTTTTCTCTTTCATGGATGCCAGGTTCTTTGGTAGCTTGTTTGGACAAAGTGAATGGCCTTTTAGGCTTCTTCCACATGAATAGGAGTTCACTTTTTGAATAATAAGAATTATATCTCATAGGGGGGAGTTCAGAATTTTAGTAATGCTTAGGTGGGGCTTGGCCAAAAAAAAGATTGTTAACTTCTGCACTAGAAGCACAAGCCACAATGAAACCTATATTAGGCTAACCCTTACTGTTAGAATTTTATGAAGCAATAATATATTTATGATTTCATGATTAAAAATCTTCTAGACATCAGTGTTTAAATCACAATCCAGCAATAAAGGAGTAACTTGAAATTGGAAAGTTTTACATTTCACCATTCTATTTTCCTCTTCAAATTGAACACAGTTTGAAAGAATTAAGAGAAGCTATAACACATAAATTACTCAAGGGTTCTTTCTGTTTTTAAGATCTACAAGATTTAGATGATAAACCTTTTGAAATGGTAGAGAATATGTGAAGTGTCATAGAATTTAATATCAATAAGAATACATTCAATCTGATTATACAAATGTAGATACTCTTTCTAGAATATTTTTTGAGACATTGGAAGTGACCCACTCGCTCACAAAAAATTTGAGCACCTGCCAAGTGACAAAGGTGGGGGCGAACGAAACAGACAGGGTCCCTGCCTTCTCGGTGCTGAAAAAAGGCACAAACACTTATACTGAATATTCACTTTATGTGATGTGTTATAACAGTCAATGTTCTCTGAGTGGTTATTATATACCAAACGCTGTTCGAAGTAATTTATCTGTTTTTCTTCCTCACCTGATTCATAAACTTCTTGAAATCTACCTTTTTTGGCTGCCTGATGTGTCTGGATCAAACTTATATCTTATTTCCTTTGCTACTCCATAACTGTAATTTTGCTATTGTTATGAATCGTAATGTCCATTGATGCCTATTGTACTATTTTACAGCTTTCCTGTAGTTCTGAAATTTTTCAAAATAAAAACTCGGTGGGGTACGGGGGGGCAATGATGTTTGGTCTTCTCAGCTGTTGGGGGTGAGAGAGAGGAAATGGTGCTCCCTGTCAGGCAGTTCAGGTTTGAGTGTTTTGAGGATGGCTGCTAACTTACTAGACCCGAGTTCCTGAGCAGCTGCTCTTTCCCAAGCCTTTTCTCCAGCTTCTCCACAATTCTGTGAGCTCCTGATGGGCTCCTAGTAAAATCCCCTTCAGTTGGCTGCAGTGAATTTCTGTCACTGAAACCAAAAATCCTCAAAATAAACCTAGTGTATACAATATGCACCACACAAGGATTTATTTCAAGTTGTTTTAAATAAACCAAATGAATATATTTTGAAATATGTTAGGATAGTATGGTACTTAAATCTACTAACTGTGCCCAAAAAAAATGAACTCCAGGGCACTTTTCAACAAGTGTCCACTCTTTGCCTATGAACAGAACATTGGGCTAATCCTTTGCCCAACACTGCTCTTCCTTTTTCATTGTGTGCCTTACAGCCAATCGCTTCAAGTACATTATGGGAATAAAACACACGAATTGCATGCCTGGGAAACCATGTTAAGAACCTGAGCCCCTGGCTCACACTTTGAGTAAACTTGCCATAACACTGACAAAAATCACGAGGGTCACAAAATCCACTTTCCAAAAGAGAAGAAGTGCATTTTTGTCCAGGAAAAGGAGGAGATGGGAAGAAGGAGAGAGCAGAGAAGAAAATTACCATTTCGATGACGACTGTGTGCAGTGTACATTTGACATCTCATTTTTAATTCTCAGAAGAACTCTAACGTAAAGGCCTTATCTCTATTCCAACGATGAGAAATGGGCAATTGCAGCAGGCCGATCGGGTGTTTTTTCCAGAATGCTCAGTTGTCTCAGCGGGAACAGGTGTGAAGAGGCCTTCCCAGGAATGGCTTTCCCAGGATAAGAGCAGAATGGAAATAAATACCTAGGACAACCCTTCCACTGCATCCCTCGGGGCCAGGATACCCTGCGTTTACCTACATTGCTCTTTGAAGTACTTTTATGCTTTTTAAGGCAGATAAGCCTTTTCTCCTTCATAGGGAGACATACCAAGTAAAGAACAAATAGCCATTATGAAAAACAATTTCACCTTAACTGGTTTGGCTCAGTGGACAGAGCATCGGCCTGCGGACTGAAGGGTCACAGGTTTGATTCCAGTCAAGAGCATGTACCTTGGTTGTGGGCACATCCCCAGTAAGGGGTTTACAGGATGCAGCTGATCGATGTTCCTAACTCTCTATCTCTCTCCCTTCCTCTCTGTAAAAAAAAAATCAATAAAATATATATTTTTAAAAAATTTTCGAAAACTGTAGGGGTCTATGTTGTGGGGTAGAACCCTGGGTTCAAAATAAGACCACCGGAGGCTGATGATTTATTAAAAAAAAAAAAAAGCAGGCAAGAATTTATTGAACTGGCCAGGGCAGCCGCAAGAGTACCACACGCAGGTGGACCCTACACGACTATGCCACTTTAGGGGCAAGCAGTTATTTTTAAAGGGTCTGAGAAGGAAAACCCCCATTCTGCAACAAATTGTTGTTTGGAATTTTCTGCTGTTCTTCCTAGATAAAATGTTGCTTTCTAGTTTGCTTTCGCCCGTTTGAAGAATGATGAAGATAAACTTAGCTGTCTGACCTTGCAGGCCAGAGACCAGATACCATGCCAGATGCACTTTCTCAATTGGATAGAACAGCGTTGTTTTTCAAGGCCAGCATGGAGATAACCACTAAGTGCACATAGGGCTGGCTCTTTAATGAAAAAAAGGAAGCTCTGCCTGTAACCTTGCTTAGAATTTGAATTCATCCTATTTCAGTTTACACTACAGTTCAAACAAAGTGAGAGACATCCCCAGTAGGGAGTATGCAGGATGCAGCTGATCAATGTTCCTAACTCTTTATCCCTCTCCCTTCCTCTCTGTAAAAAAAAAAAAAAAATCAATAAAATGTATTTTAAAAAAAGAAAAAGATTTCAAAACCTGTAGGGGTTTACACTACAGTTCAAACTTTGGGGTGTCGAACTCAATCAGAGAAGGGGCCAAAATCTAAAATCCAGCCTAAATCGTGGGCCGAATGGTTTACTGAACAGTCATAAACTGTCATTGTGATGGAAACGCAGCGGAGTGCAGTGATGACAGCGCGGTGCGGGCCACATTGCAAGGCCTGGCGGGACGGATTTGGCCCGCGGGCCTTGTGTTTGACACCTGTGGTCAAAGTGAGTACAGTGAGAGAGAGACAGAGACCACTGAGGTGTAGGGCAGAGCCCGCACGTCTGTATTCCAACTCCAGGCTCGCTCGCTCTCTCTCTCTCTCTCTCTCTTTCTCTCTCTCTCTCTCTCTCTCAGGAAATACCAGAAAATGACTTCATGTCTTTTCTAAACTATCAGTATAAGTCAAATTTCCCAGTAGGATAACCAGGCGCCTCCATCACGCCCACCAACGCCAGTCTGACCCCGCCAGGCCCCGCCCCTGACGGACTAGCCCCGCCCCTGCCCGACTAGCCCCGCCCCCACGGGCACACTTGGCGCCTGCGCAGATGATCCCGCCCTGAGCCTGTAAGGCTAAGCGGAAGTTGCCTCGGAGCTCGCATCCTTTCCGCCCCGCCCCCTCTCTTCTGGGAGGCGACGCAGGCAGAATATTCTTCCGGGTTGAAGGGTTTGCTTCCGGAGAGCGGGAAGGCTGAAACGCGGTGGCCGAGCTGAAATACAATTAACAAGGTTCTGGGTGGAGAAGGCTGTACCCATGGACAGGTCAGTTCCGGTGGTGACCACTTGAGCTCGGAGACCCGTCCCTCCTGCTTGTTGGCGGGACGAAACCAAGCAGGGCCCGGGCTGAGCCGGGACTCTCCCGAGCTGGGGGACTGCGGCTGATGGAGGAAGGCCCGCTGGGGTGGGAGAGGGATGCGGAGGATGCTGATCCCGCGGAGGAAGCTGATCCCGCGGCGTCTCTGCTGTCCGCTCTGCGCCTTGGCCGAGCACTTTTCGGCTCCTGGGG